GTGACTGTTACATAGTAATGACACCACAAACAAGACAAGGTTACTCAAGGAAGGGAAGGGTACAATTAAATTCAAGAAGGTAAGTTATACTATCAACAACACTGGCACTGAGCGGGATGATTAAAAGGTTTTCTCCTTGTTTTTCCCCTCTGTAGTTCCTATTCCGTACAAGTTTTTATTTTAACCTAGAGCTGTCTGCTTTATGTAATATTCCCTTTCATGGATTCTACCTTTATTGAGTCAAATATGACATGAAAGTGATAAGGCTGGTACTATGTGAAGTAACATGCATGCATTCATTAACATAATCTAAAGAAAAGCCAGGAGTAAACAGGAAAACATTACCACACACTAAGTTGTCTGAGAAAAATTAATGAGAAAATACTTATTCAAAGAAAGCAATAGAAGAAAGAACTCAGAATTGCATGCTGAAGCAGAAGGGTCTTGAATTCCAGGACAACCTATGCTATATGGCAAGACTGTGTCAAAAACAAGCAAAACACACCCCTTAATATTTAGAGGGAAACTAATAAAAGGAAGAAATGTTAATAAATCAAACACAATTAGAAACACAAAAACAATTAGAATTTTATAAGAAAAATTCAGATGGAAATACGTTGGCTTACAGTGTAAAGTTCTCTCATTATGCATGGTAATATTTAACCATAATTGAACATCAAAGCTCTCATATCTTTTAAGCAAAAAAAAAAAAAATAGTAATATTAGCCTGAGAAAGTATCTATTACATGGCAAAAGCAGTGATTTCATGTACTGAAAGTAGAGTTACAAACTGATGAAACCAGCTGGGCAGTGGTAGTGCACACCTTTAATCCCAGCATTTGGGAGGCTGGCAGATCTCTGAGTTTGAGGCCAGCCTAATCTACAGAGCAAGTTCTAGAACAGCCAGGACTACACAGAGAAGCCCTGTTGCACATGTGTGTGTGTGTGTGTGTGTGTGTGTGGGGGGGGTGATACAAAACCAAAAGATCCTATATAAATATTATCTGTAGATATTGTTTACCTATAGATCTACACAGTAAGAAACATGCATGTAGACTCTAGAATATATAAAGAACTCTTACAGGGCTGAAGATACAGCTCAGTTAACAGAATGCTTGCCAAGCATGCAGAAAGCCTTGGAACAGAACTCAAAAATTCAAAAACCTGGGTGTGGTAATGTACACATACGATCTCAGCACAAGAGGGTAGAGAAGATCAAGAGTCCAAATGTTATGTGTATTGATTGATGTTTTGCCTGTGTGTATGTCTGTGTGAGGGTGTTGGATCCCCTGGAACTAGAGTTTCATACGGTTGTGAGCTGCCATATAGGTACTGGGATTGAACCCAGGTCACCCTAGATTATATAGTAAATTTAAAGACAGCCTGTTCTAATTTCAAAAAAAATAGCAACAATAAAAAGCTAAAACTATGGCCTAGCAATTTACTCCTAATAAAAAATAACTAAAAGCATATATTGAGACAAAGAACTGTGCAAACATGTTCATAAAAACCTTTTCCAGGGACTGGAGAGATGGCTCAGCAGTTAAGAGCACTGACTGCTCTTCCAGAGGACCTGGGTTCAATTCCCAGCAACCACATGGCAGCTCACCACTGTCTGTAACTCCAGTTCTAACACCCTTACACAAACATATATGCAGCCAAAACACCAATGCATGTAAAATTAAAAATACCAAATTATGTAAAAAAAAACCTTATTAACCATTAAAAACTATGTAACATATTTAGAAAAATGATTTGAAAACTAAACAGCCCTGTGTGTCTCACTGGAAACAAAGGTCAGAACGTCGACTTTCAGTACCGATAGAAATGGACTACCAACCTTAAAATCTATACCCAGCAAGAACACTCAACTAGGAACGGTGGCCCCTGTCTGGAATACCAGCACTCCAGAGGCTAAGGCAAGAAGAACCAGTCTGGGTTAGACCCTGTCCAAAACAAAACACCCTTCTGCAATGAAAGTAAAATAAAGTTATTCTCTGGAACTGGATTAATGCCTCGGTGGTTAGAAGCACAAACTGTTCTTCTGGAGTTCATTTTCCAGCACCCACATCAGGCAGCTCACAAATACCTGTCTATAACTCTAGCTCCAGGGGAATACAGTTTAATTCTGACCTCTGCAAGCACAGGCACACACACACTTAAAAATTTTACAAGACAAAGTTGTTCTTTGCCGGGCAGTGGTAGTATACACCATTAATCCCAGCACTCAAGAGGCAGAGGCAGGTGGATCTCTGGAGTTCAAAGCCAGCCTGGTCTACAGAGAGAGTTCCAGGACAGCCAGAACTACACAGCGAAACAATCTTAAAGGCCAAAAAAATTTAAAAAACAAAGTTTTTTGTTGTTGTTTGTTTTTTTCAAGACAGAGTTTCTCTGTGTAGCTTTTGGAGCCTATCCTGGCACTCTGTAGACCAGGCTGGCCTTGAAATCAGAGATTTTCCTGCCTCTGCCTCCCAGGTGCTGGGATTAAAGGTATGAGTTACCACCACCCAGCTAAAGTTACTCTTACAGAGAATATGTGCAGAAAAGGAAAAGAACGGAGCAAGCCTGTAACTACTGTCCTCATTTTGTCCTGCCTCCAACAACTGGCCACTGACTGGTATATGAGAACTTGGATTTGGAGAGAAATGTTCCTGTACAAACCATGTGATTTATGTCAACATCTGCTTTCCTTCTAGAAATTCAGAATTGTGATATATGCTGACCTGTTCTCAATAAAAAAATCCTTGGCACTGTTTCGTGACAGACATTTTACTCCTTGTAACAGATAATTCACTCCTGGAGGCACTAACTACAGTGTGATCCTACTCAGAAACCACTTGAAACCTTCCTCCAAATTTCACCTCAAGCATATTTGCCATCTACTCACTTCAATGTGAATTTTTTTGTATGTACATACACATTCCTACATGTGTACCCGTGGGTGGATGCCAAAGGTCAACCTCAAGTATATTAATTACCCTTACCAGCCCTCCACCTTCCTTTTTGAGACATTCTCTCACTTAGGCCTGGGGCTCAATGTTGGCCAGTGAATTCCAGGGGTCTGCCTGTCTTCCTTCCCCAACCCTAGGATTACAAGCATACATCCCATACCTGGCTTTTATGTAGGTGCCGAGGATCCAAACTCAGGTCCTCACGCTTGTATACACTTGACCAAGTGAATCATCTTCCCAGCCTTGCTGTTGTTTTCTCCTTCAAACAAAGTCTCAATCCAAATCCTGCCTCCATATCCCCAAGTTTTGAGGTCACAGGCCCATGTACCATGTCCTGCTTCTACTATACCCAGTTTTGAACTGAATTCCATGCCATAATAAATGACAATGATAGTCTGACTAAAAGCCGAGGCCCATGTGTTGTCTTACAAAATTACCAAACCTGGAGGTGGTATCAGGGATCTCTCCCACAAAAAAGAAACTAGGAGTCTGTTGCTAGGAGACTATGCTCTAAAAGACAGCTAAAAGTTTTCAAGGCAGAAAAGAAATACTATCAGAATCTGAAAAATAAATAATGAAAGAACAAGTTGGACTCAGTGACGTACTCCAGCAGAGGTGGAAGGATCAGAAGTTCAAGGTCATCCTTGACTGCATAGGGAATTCCAGGCCAGTGTGGGCTACATGAGACCCTATCTCAAAAAAATATAATATAAAAACAATATAAAGAGTTGGGAGCTGGAGAGATGGTTCAGAGGTTAAGAGCACTCACTGGCTGCTCTTCCAGAAGACTCTGGTTCAATTCCTAGCACCCACACGGCAGCTCACAACCATTTTTAACCTCAGTTCCAGGGAATTCAATGCCCTCTTCTGACCTCCAAGGGCACCAGACATGCACATAGAATACAAATATACATACAGGCAAAACATCCATACACATAAAATAATACATTTAAAAAATAATAATAAACAGCAAATATATGGTAAGTATAATAGGCTATTCTCCTAAACTTACAAATTATTTTCCATGCCAGGTGTGGTGGCTCACACCTTTAATCCCAGCACTTGGGAAGCAGACAGGGAATCTCTGTGAGTTCGAAGCCAGCCTGGACCACCAAGAGAGTTCCAGGAAAGCCAAGGCTGTTACACAGAGAAACTCTGCATTGAAATATATGACAATATATACAGGTTAGTAAAGGGAACTATATGGTGATAAGTAAAACAGTGATTCTAAAAGGTAGGTATACTCTACTCTCTAGAGCAATGTTGGGGGACGACAAACACAAAATGAGACAACTTAGAAAGAAGGTGTGGTGGCTCACACCTACGATAATAGCTGAGGCCATGAGGCAAGGCGGGGGGTGTGTGCCCACTAAACACAATTTCGTCCGTCCACCTTCACTTTGGCTAAAGAAAAGTGGAGGCCCGGTAAACTACACGTCCCACCATGCATTGCTGCCTTATTCAGAGTAGGTCTCTACGGAAACAGAAAAAAAAAATTCTCCAAGTCCCACCTGTTACTTCGTTTCTAAACACCTCCTGCACTTTCAGCTCAGACGGCCAACGCAAAAGCCCCGTGACCTGCCCTTGGCTCCCAGAGCCAGATAACAGGGCCCCCGGGTCTGGTGGCACCACCGCCTCGGCGGGGGAACGCCGCCGAGCTCCAGCGCTCCCCTCTCCTTTCCGGGGCGGGATGCACGCACAAGCCGCCTCCTGTCTGCATCCAATCGGGGCTCTCCAAGGCGCACAAGGGAGAAGAACCGCTTACTGGGCAAGCACAACACACGGTGCCGAGACAAGGGCTAGCAGTGCGGGGGCGACGGCGACATGACCCCCGACAGAACCGGCAGCCGGCCGCGCCACCAACCCCCTCGCGCCGGCGCCCCGCTCTCCTCGGGGCTCGCCAACGCGACCCTAACCGCCGCCCTCTGCGCGCGCTTTCGAGCCCCTCAGCCCGGTCGCGGGGCCAAGTGACCTCCCTTCCCCGGAGACCGGCAGCCGGCGAGGAAACCGACTCCTGCCGGCCTGCCCCTCCGCGCCCCCCCTCCTTACCGGCTTGGCGGCCTCCGCCCAGGTCCTGCCCTTCTTCCTACGGCCCTTTTCCCTCATGTCGGGTCCGGAACTGACTGGGAGGCTTCCGTGCCCCGGCTCCGGCTGCCTTCCCTTGCCTGCTGCGCCCTGCACGGCTTTTCCCGCGGGGCGGGGAAAGGTGGGAGAAAAGGGGAAGTCGGACCGGAGAAGCGACTCAGCGGAGACGCGGCCACGCCACGGAGGCGCGCGGTGGCGGGGTGGAGGGGGGTCTACGGGGCGGCCGGTCCTGCTGCTGTTGCCACTGCTAACGCCGCTGCCATATTGGGGTCTTACTGTACAGGCAGCCGCTGAGGTCACGTGATCGCTCCCGCGCGGCCGTCACTACTGTACGCAGCCGGGCTGCGCGAACCAGCGCGCACTTCCGCGCGCGCGTTCCCGTCCCCCGTCCCCCGTTCCCCCCTCCCAACTTCCCCGCCTCAGCGTCAGAGCCGGCTGTCTGGAGCGGCTCGCCACGCCCCTGCACTTCCTGTCTTGGGCCCGCCTCCGGCGCATGCGCGCGACGGAGGGCGGGCCCTCCAGAGTCTGTCGGGGGTCGGATGTTGGGGCGGTCACACCCACCGCGAAGATCTGCCGGCAGTAACGGAATTGGCTCCTTCCGGGAAAGGCTGATTGAGCGGTTGCTGACCGCGTGTATGCCAGGGGGAACTCTGGAGACTTAAAGAGCCCGACGCTCGCCTAAGGGATCTTGCCAAGTACCGTTCCGATAAACTTCGTGTTGTATGTTATTGTGGTACAGGCTCATGGAGGGAAGGCCGATCTTAAACTCCAGATCCTGTTTTCCCATTATTGGTAATTACAGGCATGCACCACTGTGCCCTTGAGTTCGTTTTTACAAAGCTTGTCTTTTTAAAGATGTACAGCAAGCAGTTCTCGTCTATAATTAATCTCAATAGATGAGATAGGTTAGATTGATGTACCAAACTCTCGCGTGTAGGTTGTGGAGAAACCAAAAACCAGATTGTTAGCTCACAAGACTTGCCTCTCAAACTTGGGTGACTTTTTCAGGCCACTAGAAACCACAGTTACATTTTTACATGTGATTAGTCTCATCAAAGAAATGTCATTTACCTCAGTGAATTCAGCCCATGGCACGGTGCCTGTATGTATCAGGCATCCGATAAATATTTGTTGAACGATTCAGCTATGTCTGGTCAAGGACTATTCATTATTCATAATGTCAGTAATACTCTCTTGAAAAATCCAGACCATGGCATTTACCTCAAGGTTTTTGGTTGGTTGGTTAGTTGACTGATTTTGATTTTTGATTTTTGGTTTGGCTTCTTTTTTGAGGTGGTTTCTTCGTGTGACTTTGGGTGTCCTGGAACTCACTCTGCAGACCAGGCTAGCCTCGAACTGACAGAGATCCGTCTGCCTCTGCTTCCCAAGTGCTGGGATTAAAGTTGTGTGCCACCACCGGCTGACAGTATTTGTTGTAAACAATACAGAATGAATGTATAGGGGGCTAGGAATAAACCTCAAAATCCCTGCCTCTCCTGGATACTGGATATTAAACCTGCACCTTGGCACAAGCTTTGTACCACTCAGCTGTACTCCCAACCATTTTGTTGTTTTTGAGACAGTCTCCCTAAATTATCCAGTTGTTCTTTTTTTTTTTCTATTATCAGCTTGATACAGTACAAATTCTTATCCTAATAGTGAAATGTTTCACTGAGGCTTGCCCAGTGATTGAGTAAAACCAAAACTTAATATAAGCCACTGTCATCCTAGGGTCCCCCCTGCTATGTAGCTTCCCTGGATCTGTGGGTTGCAGCCTGATTGTTCTTTGCTTTCTATCTAGAATCCACTTATGAGTGAGTACATACCATGTTTGTCCTTCTGGGTCTGGGTTACCTCACTCAGGATGATATTTTCTAGTTCCATCCATTTGCCTGCAAATTTAATTTCATGCTGTCATTGTTTTTCTCTGCTGAGTAGAACTCCATTGTGTATATGTACCACATTTTCTTAATCCATTCTTCAGTTGACAGGCATCTAGGTGGTTTCCAGGATCTGGATATTACAAATAATGCTTTTGTGAACATAGTTGAGCCTGTATCTTTGTGGTATGAATCAGTATTCCTTGGGTATGTGCCCAAGAGTGCTATAGCTGGGTCTTGAGGTAGATCGATTCCCAATTTTCTGAGAAACCGCCATACTGATTTGCACAGTGGTTGTACAAGTTTGCACTCCCACCAGCAGTGGAGGAGTGTTCCCTTTGCTCCGCATCCCCTCCAACATAGACTGTCATTCTTGTTTTTGATCATAGCCCTTCTGACAGGAGTAAGGTGGTATCTCAGAGTCGTTTTGATTTGCATTTCTCTGATGACTAAGGATGTTGAGCATTTTCTTAAGTGTCTTTCAGCCATTTGAGATTCTTCTTTTGAGAATTCTGTTTAGCTCTGTAGCCCATTTTTTAATTGGGTTGTTCAGTATTTTGATGTCTAGTTTCTTGAGTTCTTTATATACTTTGGAGATCAGCCCTCTGTCAGATGTGGGGTTGGTGAAAGTCTTTTCCCATTCTGTAGACTGTCTTTTTGTCTTATTGACAGTGTCTTTTGCCCTACAAAAGCTTCTCAGGTTCAAAAGGTCTCATTTATTAATTGTTGTTCTCAGTGTCTGTGCTACTGGTGTTATATTTAGGAAGTGATCTCCTGTGTGCCAATGCGTTCAAGAGTACTTCCTACTTTCTCTTCTATCAAGTTCAGTGTAACTGGATTTATGTTGAAGTCTTTGATCCAATTGGACTTGAGTTTTGTGCATGGTGACAGATATGAATCTCTTCGTAATCTTTTACATGTTGACATCCAGTTATGCCAGCACCGTTTGTTGAAGATACTTTCTTTTTTCCATTGTATAGTTTTGGCTTCCTTGTCAAAAATCAGGTGTTCATATGTGTGTGGATTAATGTCAGGGTCTTCAATTCGATTCCGTTGGTCTGTATGTCGGTTTTTTGCCAGTATCCAATTATTCTTGAATTCCTTCTGTAGCTTTGGCAGCCTTTGAACTTGCCGTCCTCATTGCTTAGCCTCTCAGTTACCTGGGGTTACAGGCCTTCACCTAAAGGCACAACTCTAGAGATTACTGTTGCTAAAGTTTTCCTGCCTGGCCCACAGTCAGGATAAATCTCTGCCACCCGCCAGTCCCACAACCGCTCAGACCCGACCAAGTAAACACAGAGACTTATATTGGTTTCAAACTGTATGGCCGTGGCAGGCTTCTTGCTCACTGTTCTTACAGCTTAAATTAATCCATTTCTATTAATCTATACCTTGCCACGTGGCTTGTGGCTTACCAGTACTTTACATCTTCCTTGTCCTGATGGTGGCTGGCAGTGTCTCCCCACCCAGCTTCCTGTTCTCTCAATTCTCCTCTCTCTTAGTCCCGCCTATACTTCCTGCCTGGCCACGGGCCAATCAGTGATTTATTCATTGACCAATCAGCAACACATTTGACATACAGACCATCCCACAGCAGATGACCTATTGTCTAGCATGTAAGAGATCACTAGATGGGTTCCAGCAGTTCATACAACCTCTTCCTATTATTGGCAATATTTCCTGTCTCAAAAATGGTGACTTTGTCACCTTGTCTTCCTAACACTGAGGCATTAAACCCATGAGGTCTGCTGTGGAGCAAGGTCCAGGTCAGCCGTGTCTGTATGAAACCTTGCTTCAAAAAAGAACCAACAATAAAAAGTGTGTGTGTGATAAATGTGGATTCCTTTGTGGCTTTTTGAAACAGGGTATCTCTCTTTGTAGTCCTGGCTGTCATGGAACTTGGTTAGGTGACTAAGACTGGCCTGGAACTCACAGAGATCACCTGCCTCTCTCTGCCTCCTGAGTGTTGGAGTTAAAGGGATGCATCACCACACCCAACCTACATGTGGATTTTTTGAGTAATAGATTGATACCTTTCCTGGAATTTTAAATTTATCTTTACTTATTTATACTAGGGAATGTAGCTAGAGTTTTCCTGCCTGGCCCACAGTCAGGACAAATCTCTCTCACCCGCCAGTCCCACAGCCGCTCAGACCCAACCAAGTAAACACAGAGACTTATATTGCTTACAAATTGTATGGCCGTGGCAGGCTTCTGCTAACTGTTCTTACATCTTAAATTAATCCATTTCTATAAATCTATACCCTGCCACGTGGCTCGTGGCTTACCGGCATCTTCACATGCTGCTTGTCATGGTGGCAGCTGGCAGTGTCTCCTCCCACCTTCCTGTTCTCTCAGTTCTCCTCCCTGTTAGTCCCGCCTATACTTCCTGCCTGGCCACTGGCCAATCAATGTTTTATTTATTGACCAATCAGAGCATTTGACATACAGAACATCCCAGAAGCAAGGGAACAAATCCAGGACTTCAACATGTAGGCAAGTGCTCACCCACTAAGCTTACATGCTTACCTCTCAGTTCAAAAGGGCTAAATTAATTAGAAATTTTTTAAAAAAGGTGTTTGTAAGTTTGAGAGACCGTCAGCTACTGATCACAGGATTCTAGCAATTGATATGTACATATATTTTCACCAATCCCTTTAATAACTCACAGCACTATACATAAGATTCCTGGTACATGCCACCTCAGTACAAAGCCTGTCTCTACTCAACTCAAGAAGGCCCAACTCAAGCCAAACCAGGGGAACTCCTAAGAGCTTTATGTCCTAACCAGTCTTGACCAATTTGCCAATGCTTGCCTAAAGTCAATTCATGACTGGGAATAGGCTCTACATTGGTTCTGCTCAGAGTCCATGCCTCTGACCCTACATGGAACAATAGCAATGGCATTATCTGACAGACATTTCCTGGGGAAACACAAGAGACACAACACACTCACTCATCTACTCACCTCAGTAAGAGAGCCCACAACAGACCAAAGTATCTGGGACTATGGTGGTCCAGCCCCTCGATAGTACCCTCCAAGGGTCCGGGAAGAATCTACAACCAGCTGATAATTAATCTTAAGTCTCATTTATCTTTTGACAAAAATTAATAAAATACATTTAGAACAGAATTATTTCTAATCATATTTCTATAAGTTTTATACCATTGATGAACAGTTCATCAAAAGGATCTGGAATT